AGGTCACAACTCTTCAACTATACTCACACTCTAGGTCACAACTCTTCAATTATACACACACTCTAGGTCACAACTCTTCAATTATACTCGCACTCTAGGTCACAACTCTTCAATTATACACACACTCTAGGTCACAACTCTTCAATTATACTCGCACTCTAGGTCACAACTCTTCAATTATACACACACTCTAGGTCACAACTCTTCAACTATACTCACACTCTAGGTCAAACTCTTCAATTATACTCACACTCTAGGTCAAAACTCTTCAATTATACTCACACTCTAGGTCACAACTCTTCAACTATACACACACCCTAGGTCACAACTCTTCCATTATACTCACACTCTAGGTCACAACTCTTCAATTATACACACACTTTAGGTCACAACTCTTCAATTATACTCACACTCTAGGTCAAAACTCTTCAATTATACTCACACTCTAGGTCACAACTCTTCAATTATACACACACTCTAGGTCACAACTCTTCAACTATACACACACCCTAGGTCACAACTCTTCCATTATACTCACACTCTAGGTCACAACTCTTCAATTATACTCACACCCTAGGTCACAATGCTTCAATTATACTCACACTCTAGGTCACAACTCTTCAATTATACTCACACTCTAGGTCAAAACTCTTCAATTATACTCACACTCTAGGTCACAACTCTTCAATTATACACACACTCTAGGTCACAACTCTTCAATTATACTCACACTCTAGGTCACAACGCTTCAATTATACTCACACTGTAGGTCACAACTCTTCAATTATACCACAATCTTTGATTACGTGCTTTTGAATCGTATCATCATATCTTATTCTTCTTAACAATATACAAGATACTCCTCAAACAAAGCAAAACGCTATCAAACAAAGACACTACATTGGTTTCATCAAAACTTCACTTTTCCAAGAGATTTGATACATACACAGTAACAGTGATATTTAATGACATGTTTACTGTACATCACACACTTTGTTTTGTAGAGATTTGATACGTACACAGTAACAGTGATATTTAATAACATGTTTACTGTACATCACATGGTTTGTTTTGTAGAGATTTGATACGTACACAGTAACAGTGATATTTAATAACATGTTTACTGTACATTACATAGTTTGTGTTTTAGAGATTTGATACGTACACAGTAACAGTGATATTTAATAACATGTTTACTGTACATTACACAGTTTGTTTTGTAGAGATTTGATACGTACACAGTAACAGTAATATTTAATAACATGTTTACTGTACATCACACAGTTTGTTTTGTAGAGATTTGATACGTACACAGTAACAGTGATATTTAATAACATGTTTACTGTACATTAAACAGTTTGTTTTGTAGAGATTTGATACGTACACAGTAACAGTGATATTTAATAACATGTTTACTGTACATTAAACAGTTTGTTTTGTAGAGATTTGATACGTACACAGTAACAGTGATATTTAATAACATGTATACTGTACATTAAACAGTTTGTTTTGTAGAGATTTGATACGTACATAGTAACAGTGATATTTAATAACATGTTTACTGTACATCACACAGTTTGTTTTGTAGAGATTTGATACGTACACAGTAACAGTGATATTTAATAACATGTTTACTGTACATAACACAGTTTGTTTTGTAGAGATTTGATACGTACACAATAACAGTAATATTTAATAAAATGTTTACTGTACATCACACAGTTTGTTTTGTAA